CCAGTCATTTTGCATTTTGATTTTGCAAAGAAGTGTATCTTATTCAGGGCCCAACTTTCCCATGCATAGGAGGGACTGAAAATACCATGGCTTGGGTCAGGGGCCCCTTCGTCCTCAAAGGCATATCTTTGCTCCTCCACACCTTAAAAAGAGTATGGTCTTATTCCCAATCATAGCCTCCCCTGGGTACCCACCCTGGGCCAGAATGGAACAATTCAATGTAATGACTCACGGCCCCCAGGGCCTCTAGTGCTCACAGCAACCTCAGTGGTAGTTATTAGTGTTGCACCTACTCTGCATATGGACAACTCAAACTTTCAAGAGATTAAGAGATGGGTCCAAACAAAAGTCTGTTCAAATGTAAGCCCTGGCCTCTTTCCACAGGCCTCGTCCACACAGACAATCTGGACAGGGACCCGGAACTTGGGGCAACCAGATTTGGCCAGATATCACCTTTCATCACCCCCACTGCCTCAACAGAGTAGGACTCAGCTGCCCAATGAGACAGAAGAAAGATTGAGAAGACTTCTGGGGACCTGAGGCTCTCTCAGACCAGGCAGGGACATCCTGATTGTGGACTGGGTGTTCTGGGCCTGAGCACAAAGGCCCTGCTGCCAGTCCCTGGGTGCTCCCTGGTGCTGGTCTGTGTCCCTGAGCCTGGCACCCTCACCTGCTGGGGGTGCAGTCCAGGTGGTGCTGCAGAAGCACCTGCTGTGGGATTTCCATTCTGGGTGCCATGACAACACGTAGGAGCAGCCTGACCACCTGCAGTTCTGTGCCCACCTGCCACTTCCTGCCAACCCACCCCAGAAGGGAAATGTCTCATGAGCCATCAACAGAAAGGCTCCGAGTGACTCACTGCAGCCTGGGGGAATAGGCAAGCAGTGGGGAGCAGCTTTGTGCCAGCATTCGAGGTGGCCACACCCCTTCAGTGTGTAAAAACACAGTATCTTCCAGGCACAATTAAGTCAAAAGCATGAAACCCAGGCAGGCCTGACCCTCGATGTGTCATTCACTCACTCACTGCCATCCAGTTGTCTCAGCAACCCTGTAGGACACAGCAGGACTGCCCCTGTGGCTTTCCAAGAGCACCACTCTTGACAGGAGTAGAAAGTCTCATCTTTGCCCTGCTATCAATCTGTAGGTTTCCAAGCCCACCATGACTGCATTGCATCTGCCCTGTCAGGCCCCACCCCCACCCCCCTTTCCACTTGGCAGTAGATGGCGGGGAACATTTTCCCGTGTCGAGAGAACATTCTCCTGTGACCGGTGCTGTGTTCACGGGATATATTCGGGCATTCAGATTCTTGTCCAACTGAAGAAATCCCCACCAACCAGCAGAATAGCTATTGGGAAGCTGGCCCCGGACCAGGCAGTGGTTCATTCTGTTGTGCAGACAGAAGTTCACTATGAGTCAGATCGGACCCGACAGCACCTAACAGCTGCAACACTGAGTATTTGTGCTGCTTCCTACATTTTAATCTCTTCCAATTCATCATTATACAAATTGAATATTAGTTATTAAGGAACATAAATAATTCACAAAGGTAGAGCAAGAAGAAAATGACCTTCTCTTCCCAGTCCCTGGACTCAGTAGCCACGGACGTCTGGATGTACTTCAGAACTGTTGCTTTAGCTCCGTTCCCTACTGACTTGATGGGCAGGTGGGGTTTGCATGGTGGGAATGTTCCCCAACATACTGGGCAGTAGGCGCTTTCTTCAACCTTCCCATCTCTCAACAGTGGTGAGTTTGAAAAGCAATTGTTTTTTTACTAAAAATAAGGATTTAGAGGGGGAAAAAAACAACGTTTGTCCCCTCTGGGGTTTCATCTGAGCACTGGTGGCATAGTACTTGTAAACTGGGCTGCTAAACTCAAGGTTAGCAGTTCGAAACCACCAGCTGCTCCATGGGGGAGAAAGACAAGTCTTTCTCCTCCCAGTCTCAGAAACCACAGGGCAGTTCTGCTTGTCCTATGGGGTTGCTATGTGCTCCCTGACATGTGT